TAGAGAACTTAAATCAGCAAACAGCAGAGGAAGATGTTCAGGTTGATGTTACCCCTTTCTTGGATGAAGAGTTTAGAGCACTAGCTATTCCAGAAATCGGCAATGATGTCGACGTATTTCAAAGCGATGAGCCACAGGACCCAAACTTGGAGGAGGTCAGGCTCATAAGACTACCTATACTTATTCAAGAAAATGAGCTGCTCTCAATTGTGCGCTCCTTGAACAGAAAACAGCGGGAATATTTTTATCATGTTCACCATAACATGAAGCTGAAGAGACACTTTTACGAATACGTCGGAGGCGGAGCTGGAGTAGGAAAAAGCCGATTAATTTCCGCTTTATACCAGTCACTGACAACACGAGCAAACAGCTTATCCGGCAGTAATCCCGAGACAATTAAAGTCTTATTGTGTGCTCCTACAGGAAAAGCTGCATTTGGGATTGGAGGCGTTACTTTGCACTCGATTTTTTCCTTACCGATAAACCAATCCTCAACTGAATTACGACCTCTCAGCAATGATAGTGTTAATTCTATCTATTCAAACCTAATAGACCTTCAGTTAATAATAGTGGACGAAATTTCAATGGCCGGTGCCAAAATATTTGGATATTTAGATGCCCGTTTAAAACAAATATTTCGCTCTAGCGAGTATTTTGGAGGTATACCATTAATTGTTTTTGGCGACTTAAAGCAACTCTCGCCAGTAGGAGACAGATGGATTTTCTCCCCAAACCAATTGGATCCATATAGCGCAATTACTGGCACACCACTTTGGGATTTGTTCCGTTTCTTCGAACTCACCGAAATAATGCGCCAAAGAGAAGATCAGGCATTTGCCGTTGCTCTCAACAACATGTCCGAAGGAAATATGACATCTGATGATATCGAGCTCATTAAAGCAAGAGAAACCAATTTTAACGAGATACCCAACGACTGTATTCATCTTTTTTATTCCAACGCGGATGTATCTCTATATAATACTGCAAGATTGGCTAAAATCGCCACAGAAGAGTTTATCTCTACAGCGAAAGACAGTGTGAAGGCGAACTCTCTTTCGGAGCGAAGTAAAACGGTTATATTGGATGCCATTAAGAATTTTAAAATATCGGAGACACAAGGAATGTGCTACGGTTTACAACTGAAAACCTCTGCAAAATACATGATTACGGTCAACATTAATACTGCAGATGGTTTGGTAAATGGAGCTACCGGCCGACTAATGCAAATTGACCATCGAGGCCCCGAACGGACACCAGTAATTCTTTGGATGCACTTTTCCGAGCCAGGAATTGGAGTAATAGCACGTTCCAAAAAGCCTCACCCCCACGAATCGAGCTGGACACCAATTGAAAAAGTAGTGCGCACCTTCCAATATAGAAGAAACGAACAAGTCTCGATAGAAAGAAGGCAGTTCCCTATAATACCAGCAGAGGCAATAACAATACACAAAAGCCAAGGAGCAACTTACAGATTGGTTGCTATTCATACTAAGAAGGGAATGAGCCGATCAGCTTTGTACGTCGGATGCAGTAGAGCAACAAGTGCTTCAGGACTATTTATTGTAGGTAATTTTATTCCACCTAGACCTTTTGGAGGCAACGAAGTAGTCCAAGCACAGCTGAATATACTTCGGACAATAAAAAAATTAGAGACGCACTACAAATTTGCAACTGAGCGCCCAGATAACACTCTTCTATTGTACTATCAAAACATAAGAAGCTTAAGAAAGCATATCGATGACATTAGAAGTGACCACCTTATTTGTTCAGCGGATATCATTTGTTTTGCCGAGACTTGGACCCGTCCAGAAGAAGAATTACAAATCGAAGGCTATAGTATTGTGGCGCGTATCGATGGAGCCACTGAGACTGGAAAATGCCGCTCACGGAATGGAGTAATAATTTACTGTAAAACTGGTCATGAAAGTTGCTTTACCACAAGTTTCAGTAAAAGTCATCATGTAGCCGGAAAAGTGTATCAGTTTCTGGCGATATCAAAACCAGACTTGGCAATCGCTGTAGTATACAGAAATCCATCTTTTTCATTACCAGCATTTAGAAGAATATTGGAAGAAGATATAAAGGAGCTGAGTAATAGAAATAATGGAGAATTAATAGTTGTTGGAGACTTTAATGTCTGTCGCATTACGTCAAATGATGTTCTTGGAACGCGCTTGAGCCAACTAGGATTGCATTCCTTACTGGAACATCTTCCTACTACAAAGCAACAAACCGCGATTGATTGGTTATTGGCAAGTTTTTCTGCAGACAGAGCAAGGGCGATAACATACGAAACCTTATTCAGCGACCATGACGGGATGTTTTTTAGTTTTGGCGATTAATGTTATTATATTTTCACATGTACCACATACGTTTGTATTTAAACACTTTGTTGTAGAACACCTTAATTTACTTTATCATAAGTCTTTTTGTTTTATTTAATGTATTTGAAATTTAAAAGTAGTAGATAAAAATTAAATAAAGAATAAAATAACAAGTAAGAAAGTCTAAGTTCGGGTGGAGCCGAACATTAAATACCCGGCGCAAGTATTAAATATATGTTTTTCACCTTTCCGAAAGCTACCGCTAGATGGTAAGCCGGGGTGTATCAATTTTGAGTAAATTAGCGTCCTTAAATTTCGAAATATTGCAGTTTAAAGCATTTCTGAAAATTACCGCTATATGAAAAGCGGCTGTAAGTTTAGTCCGATTTCAATTATTTTCAACATTTTGCTTTTATGTGGCAAGCACAATAACCATACCGAGTTTGGTACAAATTGGTATAACGGTTACCGAGATACATATATGTAATCATAAGTGGGCGGTGCCACGCTCATTTTCCAAAATTTTATCATAAACGTCTTTCTTGGTAAAGAATTGTTGCAAGCATCAATTTTGAATAAATTTGCTTTAATAATTACTGATTTATCGAAGATTTTGTATTTTTCTAAATTACCGTTATATGGGATGTAGGCGTGGTTATCGTCCGATTTTAAAAATGGTCGGCCATTTGGTATGCTGTGCTAAGGCCACCTGTGCCAAGTTTGGAAGAAATTGGTGCAGCGGTTACCAAGATGTACACATGTAACCATAAGTGGGGCGTTGCTACGCCCATTTTCCAAAAATGTATAATATTCTTATTTTTCGTCTAAAATTTATTGTAAATATCAATTTTGAGTGAATATTCTTCAGTAGTTACTAAAATATCGCAGTTTTCGTATTTCTGAAAATTACCGTTATATGGGAAGTGGTCGTGGTTACAGTCCGATTTAGCCCATTTTCAATACCAACCTACCTTGGATAAATGGAAACCTACATACCAAATTCCGTTGAGATATCTTAAATTTTGCTCGAGTTATCGTGTACACCGACGGACGGACAGACGGACGGACAGACAGACATGGCTTAATCGACCTCTCTATTCATTCTGAGCATTTATGTATACATTTGTCAATATCTATCTCGATTCGTTTTGGCTGTTACAAACAAGCGTTATGTGAACAAAGTTAATATGCCCTTGTGCACAAGTGCGCTCGGGTATAAAAATTAACTGAACGCATAAGGAAATTTGTATGTACGATGTAAATATTTATTAGATATTTATAAAAAAATAAATAGTGTTTTCATATTGAATATTTTTACGCTGAAAATTTAGTAAGAAGTAGTAGATGAAAGAAAGCTTTTTTATTTTCATGAAAGGTATGAAGGCTTCGGCATAGCCGAAGACAGCCCCTTTTTACTTGTTTTTCAAATAAGGTAGTGTCAAAATGTTTCTTCTCACTCTAATTACTTCACCTGGGATAATTCAGCCATGGGTCACAACCTCTTAACATATTAGAATGTTTTCTTTCAAATAAAATGTATTGCTCTGACATAGATATGCTATTTTCTTTGCCCGTCAAAATAGACTTAAGTTTTTCAAATGTTCAAATATTCACAGATATGAATACATATCGTCACTAGACACAAACAAAGGCGTGAGCTCAAAAGTTGACCGCGAAAAAAAGACCCATAAAAAAAACTTCAGCGTTCGCCGTCAACTAGGGTTCCGCGTATTTTTTCGTCAATGCGTTAAAACAATGACGCGCCTTTATTCGTGCCCTGTGGGGAAAATCTCTAGTTCTAAACTGGTGCGCATGTAGTACGTTTAGACCCAGCACTGGTTCGCGATAAATCTCTTTTGCATACAAACAACTGGCGAATTTAACATGGCGATGTCCTAGGAAGTGTCAATTGCCCCCCGCTGCATCCCTTTTTCGATAGTTCCGAACTAGTCCAAAATTCTATAGTTCCGAACCAGTTCTAAAATCGACAGACGAAAGAAAAAAGTATCATGATTTTTCAATCTTTTTGATTCTTCCGTGTGTGCGATTTTACATTATTTTCAAAGAAACGTTTTTTTCAATTTGAAATTAAATTTGTTTGAATGATTGTAAGAAATGTACGTTTACATACCTTTGGCTTTAGCTGACTTTGCAGAGGTGCTCGCTGTTATTTGTTACATTCCAGTTGGCCCCAAGATGTTAGTATGTTAATACAAAGTTTTGTTTTGTATTACCAAACTATGAAATAGCATCTGCGAAGTGCAGAATGAAAGTGCATTTGAACGAAAAAGCCGCCAAACACATATCTATGTAAAGTAAACAAGCCCCCGCTGCATCCCTTTTTCGATAGTTTCGAACTAGTTATAAATTCGACAGATAAGATCTAGTTCGTTCTGCGTCCCTTTTTCTATAATTCCGAACCAGTTCTAAATTCGTCACTTTAGATATAGATTTCTAATGAAAAAAGAGAATTAAAATAGTTTTTTTAAGAGACCCACATTTCGCTGATTTTGAACTGGTGGGGATCTACTTACTATCGGACTGGTTCGTTTTTGGCGATAAAGATCTTGTACGGAACTAGAAATTTTATGCACCAGTCCGCGGTTTCCCTGCAGGGTATGTAGTGACTATATCTATAAACATGCATGTATGTATGTATGTACATATGTATATTTTCATTAGGATTTCGATGTAAGAATGTACTATCAAAATTTCATATACAAAAATGTCATATGATTAAATATACCACGATTTTATGTAAATATTTTTAACTACAATGCTTTAAATTAATCCGATGGCATGTGGACTATCCATGGCGCTCAGAGTTCGAGAAAAATACCGCTTAAATTTACTTAATGCAAACAAAATAATTGAGTAGATCAAATATAAGACAAAAACTCCGGCAAATGTGGCTACAGCGCGCCCAGGAGTGGTCCAGTCCAAAATTGGATACACATAGGGATGACCATATCTAGATAAGTACATAAAAAATTTTCATAAATTATGATTTCAAAAGAAATCGCCATGCACTTACTCATCCCTGCCGCCAGCGAGGAAGTAGACCAAAGTGAATAAGTAGTATATAATGGGCAGTAGCATCCAATAGAGGGCGTGCACTATACGCACCGGAAATGCGACAATCAAAAAATCGACCAACATAAATACTGAATTTAGGCAGTGTGTAATGAAGCTCATCACGGGATAGCGCATCGGCTTATCTGTAAGTGGAAATTATGTTGCATTAGATCGTTGAAAAATTGCTTGCTTCATTAGAGGTAGAGAATAGATGTTATGTAATTGAAAGCGCAACAGTGTGACAGTGACTAAGAAATAATCTTTTCAATTGTAACTGGTGTTTCATGTAAAAAGCGGAACAAATTATCTGATGAAATATTAAATAGCATATAATGCGCTTCAATTATAAAGTCACCAAAAAATCATATTCGCTTACACAAAGCAAATAATTTGTAACAGTCATAGTTTTAAGAATTGCCAGTAAGTATACAGCAATAAAAAACACAAATGTATGTATGCATTATTTAGTTACCTTAATAAAGAAAAAAGTTTCTTCAAAATGTTGGGTTTTAATAAACACTAAAGCTAATTTATGAATTTAGTAGATGTTTTTAAATTCTTTTAAGCCCTTAGTGAGTAATCTACCGACCTTTGAATTTCGAAAGAATATTATATGTGTGGTGTAGTGGTAAGCAGTGCGCGCTTCCACTACGCAGGGCCTGAGTTCAAGCCCTGGTTAAAGCAACATCGCAAAAAAATGTGGAAAGAAGGGGTTTTCTTAACGGCGTAAAACTGTAGGTCCCTCCCCTTTGTGTGACAACATCAAGGCGCACGCTAAAAATCAGAGAAGCTTGGCCAAACACTAACATATGTGTAACCGCCAATCTATTATTATTATTTTATATGAATGTTACTTCTTTACTACTGAAATATGTATATGTTTTAAATTCGTTGGGAATTTTGTGGGATAAATTTTTAAGATGTGGGTAATTCGTGGGATTTTTAATAGAGAATGTTTGGCATCACTGATCAGCTATCACCAGCTGGAGATAGACCGATAGACAGATAGATAGCTTAATCGATTTCTCTTTTCATTGTGAGCATTTTGCTAAATATGTACACTGAGAGAAAAACGCGTTGTAATATTAAGAAAAATGTTATGAATTCACTGAGGGATATAAATGAGTAAAAATAATTTTTTTTATTTGATTATCGTTTTAATATGTTCGAATTCAAAAATAATACTTTCATACCACGCACGCGTGCTGTGGTGTTGATTCAAACTCAACACTTCAATATGCATTTACATGTCTTCCTTTAGCTGAGTGTGCAAAGTTGCTTGCCACAAATTGTCAAATTCCATATGGTCAGGTTTCAAACCCCGTTAAAGGCAGCATGGAAATAAACTTTTTTTTATTATCTTTATATGAAAAAGCATCCGTGAAGTTAGGGTTGCCAAATTTTTTATGCGGGAAATCTGTACGTTAGACTTTTTCATGCTAAAAAAATCACTACTTTTCAGTACATTTTTATACAAAGCAAAATTATGAATGTAAGTAACAGACAAATGACACTGAAGATGACACAATGCCGAAACCGGTTTATCTGCAAACCAAACTTGACAAGGGATGACGGAAATTCCTTCCAAAGTAAATTAACAGACAATACTTTAAAACGCCAGAGTACTTGTTTTAACAATATTTAGGTATATGAACAAAACATAGTTCATAAAAAATAAAAGTGTCATTCTTTCTAACGTGAGTGTACACATCATTGTACAAAGAAGCCAATTTATTTTACATTTATGACATTGTTGAATAGCAATAATGAGACCATTTCCATCTGCAGTCAATAAATAGTCAAAGAATTCTATACATTTCATTTTAAAAGTATCTTTAATTTGAAGTTCACTTTAAAAAATTTGTATTAGAAGCCGGTTTCTCTCTTCGCGCCAGGAAGCAAACTTTATACTCTCAGATGCTTCGTTTGAGTGTGCTATTACAAAATAAAATAACATATTTAAACTTTGGAAAAGTACCAATATTTAAGGACTTCATCTATATTTCCTCATGGCTTAAATGAATTTTTTCAACTACGCAAAAACTTTGAAAGACTAAGTATTCGCTGAAAAGAGTATCTAACTCTATGTTTTGTATGAAAAAGGAATTGTTAATTAAGGCAAAAGCCATTCGAATATCCAAACTTCCTGTTATTAAACTGAAAGTTATTTTCGAGATAACTAACAACACTCGACAAAAAACAGGTCAGCCTTATTTTTAAATAATTTAAGCTCCATCATATTATCGCAACTGGAATGTAACGACCCGGCGATATGCCCATAAAAGGATTGATCTTTTTGTTGTATTAATTTCATGGACATATCAAACATTATCTGAAACATGTCAAATATAATTAGACAAATTATTTTCTTCTTACTTTTTACAGAACAGTTTAAGGAAGTTCCAACGTTATGTAAAAACCTTACAAAAATCTTAAAGTATTTTGTTGGAATTGAAAATTCAGTAAAATCAGTACAAGTTTTGAAAAATCAGGACATTAGCGTACTGATTGAAGAAATTAATAAAATCAGTACAAGAGTTGAAAAATCAGTACTGTACTGATAAAATCAGTACTGTACTGATAAAATCAGTACTGTACTGATAAAATCAGTACTGTACTGATAAAATCAGTACTGTACTGATAAAATCAGTACTGTACTGATAAAATCAGTACTGTACTGATAAAATCAGTACTGTACTGATAAAATCAGTACTGTACTGATAAAATCAGTACTGTACTGATAAAATCAGTACTGTACTGATAAAATCAGTACTGTACTGATAAAATCAGTACTGTACTGATAAAATCAGTACTGTACTGATAAAATCAGTACTGTACTGATAAAATCAGTACTGTACTGATAAAATCAGTACTGTACTGATAAAATCAGTACTGTACTGATAAAATCAGTACTGTACTGATAAAATCAGTACTGTACTGATAAAATCAGTACTGTACTGATAAAATCAGTACTGTACTGATAAAATCAGTACTGTACTGATAAAATCAGTACTGTACTGATAAAATCAGTACTGTACTGATAAAATCAGTACTGTACTGATAAAATCAGTACTGTACTGATAAAATCAGTACTGTACTGATAAAATCAGTACTGTACTGATAAAATCAGTACTGTACTGATAAAATCAGTACTGTACTGATAAAATCAGTACTGTACTGATAAAATCAGTACTGTACTGATAAAATAAGTACGTCTGGTAACCGTACGTGAAGTGCAAAACGCTTCATTGTAATATGGGCGATTTTGACTTGAATATTTCCATACTAAATACTAAAATTTGTATACTAAAATTTATTACGAGTTGGGTTGGTTTTTACTTCTAGAATTTGTTTCTCAGAGAGTACTATGTATGTATCTACATATATGTATATCTCGATTCCTTTAGGCTGTTACAAACAACCGTTATGTGAATAAGGTTATAATACTATTGTACACATGTGCGCTCGCTTGTAAAAACTTACTCATTTTCCCATGCAAGAACATCCAATAAACCGTTGTGATGATTAGTGCCAATGACAAGGACGAGCCGTGCAGCAACCAGTAGAACTTAATCAGCTTCGGTGTGGGCGGTGGTTCTTTTAGGGTTCGAGCTTCAGTCGCCACGCTCCGTGCACCGCCCAAATTGAAGTGCCATCGTGTCGCGAGAACAGCACCGCTTAGCTGTGTCAAAAGGCATAGAATTATGCCCCAGTTTGTCAAGAAGATAAAGAGTTTGCCATCTGATAATTGCAAAACCAAAGATGCTATGAATACAGAAATAAAGAAGCATGCCCAAATCCATTTGTAGAGCAAAAAGTAGGCGCTGCGCTCGCAGTTCTGCCACTGTAAAATAGGAAGTAAAATAAGAATTAGAACTTTGCAACTAATAAATAAAATTAGTTTCCCTGATAATTCAACATAAAATTTTTAATACGTTTTGTTTGCTTTACTTTAATTTGCTTTTAGTTTAATTCAGTCCGGGTTAATTGTTCGCTCTTTAAGATTATACCTGAGCTATTCAGTTCTGCAGCTCATATTATCTTCTCCAGCATCAGATAAAAGAAGTCGTAGTCATTTTACTAAACTCACACATCTCGGCTTACAGGAAACTCATTTTGGTCCTTTCGAATGCGGCTTTGAAGCCGACAACTAGATGTGTATGCCAACCCTCTTCCCGTATTTATAATATACATTCAGACCAGAGTACGAAAAGAAACCGTACAATACAATTCTCATTTTCTCATTGCTCATCATATCATTTGTAATTTTGTTCAGTTTGGTACATAGTCAGAATCAAATTGTATGATTCACTTTTTTCACCCAAGGAGAAACGTTTATTTTACAACGCTTTTATCAACTTGCAATGTTGTGTTCCAGAAACTTTCAATGTTGTGGATCCAGAAGCTTTCAATGTTGTGTGTCCGACACCAAAGCAAAGCTTTGATAAACTCCTATAAAAAAGCATAGTGAATAGGGCGAGGTAGATGACATCTAGATGTCGCCCTATGTACTACGTTTGCTACACCGGAAATAGACGACACGCCATTTCTTTAAATAAAATTA